CTACTATATACACGTTATAAAGCTATCTATTTAGTTTATTATATTCTGCTATTCTAAATACAATAATTATGTTTCCCCTATTACGTATTTCATAAAATAATTTAACGATTCGTCATCCTTTCCAAGTGAAAAGCAAACCTTATCCAAACGTAATAATATATCTTTGTTATTTGGATCAATTTGATAAGCTTTCTTATAATAATTCAACGATTCTTCATATTCTTCAAAAAAAAAGTAGAAATTTCCTAGACATAATAATATATCGACATTATTTGGTTTGATTTGACCTGCTTTCTTATAATGATTTAACGATTCTTCATATTTTTTAAGTAAAAAGTAGACTTTTCCCAAAGACATCAATGTATCTTCATTATTTGGTTTGATTTGATCCAATCTCCTATAGTAATTTAACGATTCTTCGTATTTTTCCAGTGAAAGGCAGACTTTTCCCAAAGATATTAATGTATCTTCATTATTCGGCTTAATTTGATCTAATTTCCTATAGTAATTTAACGATTCTTCGTATTTCTCCAGTGAAAAGCAGACTTTTCCCAAACGCAATAGTGTATCTTCATTAGTTGAATTAATTTGATTAGCTTTCCTATAATAAATTAACGATTCTTCATGTTCTTCAAGAAAAGAATAAAAATTTCCCAAACATAACAATGTATCTTCATTGTTTGGTTTAGTTTGATTAGACTTCCAATAATAATTCCGCGATTCTTTAAATTTTTTGAGTGAAAAGTAGACTTTTCCTAAACCTAATAATATATCAGCATCATTTGGTTTAATTAGATTAGCTTGCTTATAATTATTTAACGATTCTGTATATTTCTTAAGTGAAAAGTAGGCATTTCCTAAACATGATAATATGTCGCCATTGTTTGGTTTAATTTGGTTGGCTTTCTTACAATAATTTAACGATTCTTCATATTTTCCCAGTAAAATGCAGACTTTTCCTAAACCTAGTAATGAATCTGAGTTGTTTGGTTTAATTTGATCAAACCGCCTATAATATTTTAGAGATTCTTTATATTTTCCCAGTAAAAGGCAGACTTTTCCTAAATCTAATAATGAATCTGGGTCATTCGGTTTAATTAGATTAAATCTTCTATAATATTTTAGTGATGCTTTATATTTTTCCAGTAAAAGACAGACTTTTGCCAAATATAATAATGTATCTTCGTTACTTGAATTAATTTGATCAGCTTTCCTATAATAATTTAATGATTCTTCATATTCTTCAAGTGAAAAGTAGACCTTTCCCAAAGATATTAATGTATCTTCATTATTCGGATTAATTTGATCTGCTTTCTTATAATAATCTAATGATTCTTTATATTTTTCAAGTGAAAAGTAGATCTTTCCCAAAGATATTAATGTATCTTCATTATCTGGACTAATTTGATCCGCTTTCTTGTAATAGTCCAATGATTCTTTATATTTTTCAAGTGAAAAATAAATGCCGCCGCAAACTAATAGAGCCAACATATTTTGAGGCTCGATTGTTAATGCCTTTTTGACATCTTCTAAAGCATCTTGCAATTTACCAAAATCATGATAAATTTTGCTCCGCTTTATATAAGCAAATGACTTTTCTGGGTATAAATTTATTGCATTTGAGTAATCCTCAAGTGCCTTTGAATATAATTTAAGCTTTTCTGAGTTGTTCGCTCTTTTACATCTAATCGAATAGCTATGTGAATAGTTTTCCAATGCGCGTGTATACCACATAATTGCCTCTAAATGGTTTTCGTTTTCTTCTGCCTCAACTGCTTTGCGATACGCAGGATCTAATTTCTTTGGCCTTATTTTATTTAAAAATTTATTTGTAGGAACATTAACTCCTAGCATTCCAAATGAAGGTGATTTACTCAATTTTAGAAAAACTTCGTCTTTAAAATCGCGCTTAGAATTTGATGGTGCATTATTAAATTCACATGGCATATCCATATACCCAGCTTCCTTTAGTCGTTTATAAAGACCTTTAAGAGTAGCATTCTGCGGAAGATTGTATATAGATTCCTGCTCTATTAGAGTCCGGCATATTGGACATTCAAATTTCCTATCTTCAAATTGCAATATTGATTTCCATTCATCGACCGCGAATTTACTGATTGAATGTCCACATCCAAGAACATAAAAATCTCCAGTAATTTCTTTCATTATTGGACAAGTTAATCTTTCGACTATAATATTTAATAATTCGGAATCTACTTTGGATGCATCGTGATTAGGAAACATTCTTTCCTTTCCCTTTTTAGACTTAGTTGGGTTTACCGATTCTTTGTAAATATTATCAATTTCAATTTTTTGTTTAACTTTGTTAATTAAAATATCAATGTTTATATCTTGTTTACTTGTTTCTCTAAAAAGTTTTATTTCAACTTCAATTATCTCATCAAATTGTTCTGGATGCTTGTGTGACAATATAAATAATGACTCCAGGGATTTGCACCTTATAAGGTCGCTATCAAAATTTTGAAAAGTTTCCATGCATATGTAATAGCATAAGGCCAAAGAAAATTCCCGGGAAGTTTTGTTGATTATGCCTTGTACTAAGTCAAGTACTCCGAATAATAAGAAATGTGGTAAAGATATTGACTTGTAGCCACGAATTATGTCGATAAATTCTGATCCATTATTCAAAATTTCATAGCCTACTCGTGAAGATTTAGGATATTCGTCAAACACATGCTGCCAAATAATTTCTAAAAGCATTATTTCTCCATTTTCAATCAACGCTTGATGATTTTCGTCTTCAGCTAATGTTGATAAAATATTATTGATTGTCAGTAACTTGCGCCAGGCAATATACCAACTGGAAATGGAATAGGTGAATGAAACTTCATCATCATATGGAACTGTTGCTACGATTCTTGGTATTATCTTGGACATGAATTGTCGCGCTAACCTTATGAATTTTGAATAAGGAAACGTTTCGTTTTTCATATTATACAGAGTATCTCTTATATGAATAAGAAGGAAACTTATGTTATAATGATTGCTATTGTGCGTAAAATTGGATTGAGCATGATTCAATGGATCATAATGAATTTCTGCAAATTCAATTATGCTGTGATGCAACTTTTCTCGAAACTTCGAGTTAAGATAAATATTAGTATAATAAATCCTCTCCAATACCGTAACATAAGTCCCGAGATGCAACTCTAAACGAGCTCTTGTATCATCATCACTAAACCTTTCAAATGATGATGTATCAGAGATTTTCTCTAGAGCCGTGACCAAAACTTCTGACGAAATCTTCACTTTATAGTTTTCCATTAAAGATTTGAGGCAACACAAATTATTGGTCACGCTCAAATCCTTAATATATTCATATATTTGAATGTTCTTACACTCTGTTATATAAGATTTTTAAATAATTCGTTTAATAGGTAAAAAAATAGATTAAAGGATTATTAGGAATTAAAATACCTGATAATCTTTTATCTTTTTTCCACATAAACACTCGATCTCGACCTTGTCTTTTAGCCTCATATAGAGCCTCATCTAAAATTTTACGTAATTCATCAAATGAATTCATCAATGAATTCACTTCTGCAACTCCCATACTAAGTGTAACAGTTAGTTTCTTTTCTTCATAGATAAACAAATGCGCTTTGACTGAGACTCGAATTGCCTCTGCAATTTCATAAGCTGATTCGGCGGTGGTATTTCTGAGAAGAATATTAAACTCGTCACCACCATACCTCGCAAAAATATCTTCTGAGCGAATATTTCTGGTTTTGACTAAATATGCTAATTCATTTAAAACGTAATCTCCCGCTTCGTGTCCGTTTTCATCATTGATTTTTTTAAAATAGTCTATATCAAAAAATATTAAACTTAATATTGACCTCTTATCATCAATATTTTTAAACTCTTCTTCCATAATTTTCTTGAAGTAACCTGCGTTATAAATTTGTAGTTTGGGATCTAGACGATTTTCATATTCTCCTGCAGGAAAATATTGAAGTATACAGTTTCCCATTTGAATCAACTCCTTTTTTTCTAAAAAATAGGCTTCAGATGGTTCAAGTTTGTGACCATTGATAAAAGTTCCGTATGACGAATTACAATCGACTATATAAACGCTTCCGTGACAATTAGTTATTTTTGCGTGTTTCCTAGAAACTTCTTGATCCTTGATAATAATATGATTTATAGGGACCCTTCCAATTAACGTTTCAAATTGATTAAGAAAAAAACCTTGACCTTGTGGCAAACCCTGTATAACAATTAAAAAAGCTCCATTCTCTGCCATAGAACATAAATTTTCCCCAGGATAAATCTCCGGAATTTGTTTGGAATTTTTATATACATGTCTGAAGTTAATTATTTCAAGATCACAATTAGCATCTTCAGCCGAGGGACGCCTTTCAGGAGTGTCATTCCACAAATTACAATAAAGTTCCTGGTAATCTACTGGAGTTCCATCAACGGGATTTTCTCTAGATCCAGATTTAAGTTCATGCATCAAAACTTCCTTGTCCAAACTAAGCTTATTACTAAAAAAAGGAATACCACTTGAAATTTCCCATAACAAAACTCCGAGACTATAAGAATCTGATGATTTATCTTTTTTACCATATGTCGAAAGGAGTAGTGGATCTATGTAGACTATTGATTCTGAGTCCAAATATTTTAAATAATCCTGGATTTCGAAATATTCGTTTGATCTATCAAGAGATATTGAAAATTCGAACCCAGTAATCACCAATCTGTCATTATAGACAAGAATGTTTTTTGGATTCTATTACAAAATTATAAATGTATAATAATAATTATTATTTTTAACTCACGTAAAGATCTCAAGTTTACCATAAGACTTACCAAATTACGATGAACTATATTTGCACGATGAATATAACAAACACCGTTGGTAATATCTTTTGCCATGTTTGTTTTTTTAGGCCAATCCAATTCCATGAACTTTTTTTGCAAATAAGTCTTGAGATCTTGACCGTATATGCATTGAAAAACCATATAGTGAAGTTTTAGGGATGGTTCTAAAGAATAAATATTAGTCGCAATTTTTAAAAATAAAACACGTGTGACTATTATTTTGTTGTGTAGTATCATACCTTTGCTAATTCCTAAAAATCTGATTATGTTTTTGTTATCGTATTCATTTAGCCTTGTTAAATTCCGAACCTATTTAGTAATAAGCATTAAACAAATTAAACTCCTACGGTTTAAAATACTCATTAGCAAGAAACCTACCTCTCTTGTAAAATTTCTATAATATTCATTTTCAATTTTATACTGATCATCTCTTAAATATTTGAGAATAACATTCCTATCAAATCCTATTTGATAAGCCTTTTTAACATCCACTATTGGTGTTGTTAAAATTGTGTTAATTTCTCTAAACGAATTATAATCAAACTCTGTCATATGTCTATTATGAATAGCTTCTTCGATCCATCTTTTGTGAGTTGTGGATGAGTCCATTTTAATCGATTGTTTAAACTACGAACATCAATCGATTTAAAGACTATGCTACGTATATTTACGTTAACGAAAGCTCTGAACAAAAAAATTGTAAAGATCTATAAAATGTAGCGATTACATATACATTAGTATTATATTACTATACTGTATATGGGTAATTCTTTTTAAAGGCGACAAAAACGTTAGTATCTTTTTTTAAGGTAAAGATCAGAGTCCATAATTAATTTATACCTAATTAATATCGATACAGTATATCATTCATTTATAAAATTTCGGTATTATCTTTATTCTCGGGTATATAAGGGGTAAAGAAGGAGAATGTATATTCTCGCGTACCCGTATCAGGTGTCGCGAGATGTGGCTTAGGTAGTGTTTGAAGTCGATCAGCTAACGGTTGAGTTATTGACTAAGCCGTAATTTTAATTGGATAAAAAAATACGTGCTCAAAAAAAAAAAAAATTAGCTAAGAATCATACGATATACGAATTTGTTTTTTCGTTAAATTTTTTATCTCTTTATACAAGTGTTAAAGACAACGAAATATACAGTAAATTCATTTTATTATTTTTTTAAAAAATTTTTTTTAATATTTATATCTTTTTTGTGAACCCATATGAAGATAATAAAAATATGAATTCAATTTTTCTTTAATTCATATATATGATGAGTCTGTCACTAACCCAAAGCTACTGTTTGTTACATATCAAGTATTCACTAGAATATAGTTAAGGCTAACTTTTACAGACATGTTTTTAGACTTTCCTTCTTAATTTCAGTTCTTTAGTGACACACAAGGCAACTCTTGTCTTTATCGTCTTTAAAAGAGATCACAGAAATCTTTATCATGACAAGTCGTGGAAAATCAAAATATTAGTTACAGATTTATTTCTAAAATGATCAGACTTCTTTTAATATATTTCTAATTAATCAAATTTGAAGCTTAATTTATGTTTATATTTATAGGCATAGGTTAACTGTGTTATATATAGAATGTAACATAAAATAGTCATATTTTTTTGTATATATATTTAATTTTATTTTGAACAAAATACTTTTAAATACATAATTATTTTCTTATAAGAATAATAAATCATTAATGATGTTAAATATAATAGATTGCTATTATTAGTAATAATGTTATAGAGGGTGATCACAGGTATCAGAACGGTTATGTTTTTATTTATTATTTACATATTTTAGTTTACACGTAGTATAATT